TATTGATATTAGATAATCAGATTATTTCTAATTTTATAATTGAAAAAGCCCCAAATCCTCCTCCTCAAAACTCCCCTCCCTATACCAAGAAGAATGTAGAATTGAAGAAATTGAGGTTATATAATAATTTAATAGAGAACTTCACATTATATTAATTCCTACGCTATTTAATTTTTTTTTACAAGTCATATGTGTGGTTACACTGTATTTGTTGAAATAAGGGATTAAGTGTCTCTAAAAATTTTTAGGAAATGAGCTTTTAGAGAAAAGAAAAATCACACTTATATGTCCATGTATCCTATTGTTACCTTGACATTCCCAATTTTTTTAAAATAAAAAAAAAACGTAGTTAAATATGCAATTAAAAAATTTATCACCCATTCCACTTATTAAAAGCTGAATTTACAAAAGAATGGTAAGACATACATCTGCTTTATGGTTGCTATAGCACTGTACATTTCAGTTAACCTCTTCTAAAAGTTCCTGATTTCAAGGTTATATTAAGTGTCTTACTATATTATTATTATTATAAAAAAAGAGTTTGACCCCAATGCACTGGTAGAAAGCTAACCATTTTCTCTTTGAGTGCCAATTACTTTGTACAGATGTACCTTCAGGCCTCTTTGATTCAGTGTGCAACCCACAGACAGAAAATGAGACCTTTAACTTTCCTATACATACGTATCTGTCAGTATTTTAAAAGGGAGGCAACTGTCATCAAATAGTACTTTTCCCCCCTTTTTAATAACTGCAAACAAACCTAAAAAATCCAATTATTATCTTTGTATTACGAGCCTAGTCAGAACAATTGAAAAAATAAGTAAAAATCCCCATTACCTTTTTTTGTTGATTTTGGGACATTAAAGTGAAAAAAAAAATTATGTGCTGTGAGGCACTTTAGATCTTTAGTGGGAGACCACTATTTCAGGCAGGATAGCAGGTGAAAAATAAAGCCTCAGGAAGTTATGAGGTCTGACCCACACAAACATATTTAATGAGTGTGCATAACCTGATGAATTTCCACAAGATTGTTGCTGGTTTTCTTCCCTAACGAAAATAAAACCTGAAACAGCCCCATCCTGAACTAGTTCACAAAGCATAGAACAGAAAATGATTGTATGAAAAGGAAACTGCAGCCAACATCTTACCTTTTATGATGGTAATGATGGTATTCTTTGAATGTGGAAAACATTTATTTTGATACAGAGATCACATTCTATTTGCTTTTAATAATTATACTCCTCTTTGTTACTTGCAGTACAGGTAATGTACTGTACATATTGCTTATGGGTTTGCCTCCCTTTTTTGATGTTTTTCCTTCACACTGGAGTGGAATGAAGAATTACAAGATAGGTGAAAATGTCTGAGATGAGGCAACTACATTTGGACTTTAAAATGCCTGTACAGGTGTCAATAAATCCTACCACAGGAGTTCTTGCCACTATCAAAACTTCCTGTTTTTATTCAAACCTCCCCAGAGGACACGATAAATTTCAGCTGATAAAATTGAAGACAGTTTGTGTCTCTTTGCTTTCTATTGAGTGGCACATCAGCGGCTTGCAAGTATGTAATTTTCAAATTTAAAACCAATCGATTGGACCCTTTATTCCACCTACAACTGCAGTTGTTGAATGAATGAGGAAGAAAGGACTACTTTGTAACAACTATTTCTCACTCCTTTATATCTGTCTTCCAGCCAGTACTCACCAAACAAGAATAGGAGTCATTCAATCTGTGATCCAAGGTCTGTCTCTGAAGCAGTCTAAAGAGGGAAGCATGGTCAAATTTGCAGGGATTAGCAGAAATAAACTCATCCATGCCATGTTTCTGGCCACGGTCTGTATCTGTTTTACAAAGAAAAAATGTGCAGAGCAATACATGTGAGTATGTGTTCAGACTTGCAAATACCAGAATATGCATGGCATATGAGTTTCAATACATAAGCTTTCTTGAAAGTATCTCTAAGAAATAACTCATATGGAGAGATACTTGCAGGCGAATTATTCTGGAATCTTGGTCTTTCAATCTGAAAACATTATTACTGAACTATTTTTCTATTATACCAATTTACAGAGTGGAGTAGTGAAAATAAAAATTGCTACCCACTGACAGGTAAACCAAAATTTAGAAAGACTGCCAGAAAACACAACATAGCACATTAAAAAAATATTAAAGCATTATTTTTTTGGTGGGCTCTGCAAATGTTTCAATTTAAAAACAATGTTATGAAGTGGAAAAGAAAAATATTCTGTAATTTCTTGGTTTAGTATGGCTCTCTTTCTAATTTTAGCAAAATAACCACAAAAGAAAAAGAAAAAAACGAAAAGAATGCCAAACAGTTTTATGCATTTATTTCTTCAGAAAAGAAAGAGCATCTTTACTGCAGTTCAAAGTACCAATTAATAGAAATATTCATCATGGCTTGAAGCCTACTTCTCAAATGGCAAACTGGAGCAGAAATGAACACACTGGCTTGAGCTAGGTCATTTCCAGCCTTCTTTTTGTACTCGGCTTTTAATGAGACAAACCTTAATGTAGTAATGGCAAAGAGCTCCTTCAACCTTCCAGCAAAGTGTACTGAAAAAGGGAGTAGCATTTTTGTGTAAATACATTGAGAAAGCATACCATCCCAAATGGCACTTCAATCAAAGGCCCAAATTTATTGTTCTTCACAGATTGCATCTTTCAACGCCTTTAAACCCTGCGGGTTTATCAAAAGAGAAGCTCTAGTGATTGCTTTCATTAATGTTGTGTTTTGTCAAAGTCTTCAATGTGAATTATCTATCTAGTATGGACAGAAAAAGCCTTACAGTGCCCAAAAGGACTAGTTATGTATTAGCACATTAGCTGTCTTGGATTCTATAGACTGTACTGGGGTGAACAGTCCTATCAACTTAAAAATTGACTTTCCCTTTCAATAGGGTCTTAGCTCTTTGTTCCTTTAAATTCAAACCTAGGTTTTTTTATATTCGTTACCAGAAAAGTATAGATCTAAGTGTATCCTAAATGCAATTTTGAAAACCTGCATAGTAGAAATCTAAAATTTCTAAAGAAAGGAGACAAAAGTTTATTGATTAAACCCAATTATAGAGTCAGGTTCATAATAAAACTCAATATTGATCTGTGGGCATGATGCTAACATAATCAGTCACATTTAGAAATTTAGCCCCAGATCATATTGATCCATGTCAAGTCCAACTTTCAGCTGTATTTGTGGATGGGAGAATTATTTAATTCAAGCTGAAGGATCTGCAACATCAAATCCTAGTAAGATGCAGAAACTACTTCATATCATTTGGCTTTGCATTGTCAAAGCAAGAGTCACATCCATGTGACAGATTTCACCAAGGTGGATGTAGCAAATAAACAGAATGACAATATGTCGATGGTGTAAGGTATGAGACCATCATCCCAGAGAAGCAGCAGCATGTATTCTAAATGCTTGAAAGATTTGTAGCATATGTGATTACATAGATAAGCAATATTTCAATGAGCATTAGACTAGCCTATCATTAATGACAAGCTTAGCTCATATTTTTGGCATAGGTACAGGAAATGCTCTCTTTTAATTAGTGCAATTTAACTATATTTAAACACATTAATTCAAAGACAAACAACTGATATCAACACAACTACATTATCAAAAGTACTGAACAACATATGAAGTTATATATAGCTTCTAAAATGTCCAAACATAGATAAAACTATTTTCAAATCTGTAATATATAATATGCAAGTGACTGATTTCAGCATTTCTTATAAATATTCTTTCTTATAAGAATATCAGGTTTATCATATACTATAAACATTATTCATAGTAAGACATATGACAAAAAAGAAAAAGTACTATTTCTTTTTGCCATCATGTAGAAAATCATATAGAGCTGAATCATTCTTAAAATAACCTTTTGGTGTTTTCTCTGGTTAACCACACCAATATAAAAGATGGCCCTTTTTAAAGAGAGAAAGTGTAAGTACTGACAAGTAATTCAAGTATTTTGAAATCAGGAGATTGGATGCTGCAAATGAAACAGATCCAGCATACTGATACAGTATCCAGATGATCATAAGGAGTAAGGTGAACTATTGAACACAATACAGACTGTGAAAGCAGAATTTGCTATTACATAATTTGGGCAAAAGAAGCAAAAGTATCGATTTAAAAGTATAAACATTTGCTAGATTTAATTATAAAAGAAGGATCCATAACTAATCATCTTTTTGAGTGAATCAAGTAGTACAAATAACATTGTCAAATAGTATCAGAAGTTACCAAATATATTTAAGCAACAGAGAAACAACTAAAAACTTACCTTTGCCAGCTGTAGGCAAGCAGGAAATAACAAAAAAAGATCTAGTGTAATACATTATATTTTTGTTCATTGCTATGATGTACATACAAGATAACTGGTAAATATTTTGCAATAAAAAGGTATTTTAAAATATTTAAGACCTTGAGCCAAGATCATGAGGAATTCATAAATGGTATATGACTGTGACTAATAAAATTGCTCAAGATCCTACTTTTAAAAATTTTTAGAGTGATTGTGTTTTTAAAATTCTTACACAAATGAGCTTTAGTTGTCCTGTTCAAACAACATGCAAAAGGCATATAAGGTGCTATTGTCATATAGTTAAGAAAAAAAATACAAATCCATTTTTCTCTACATTTTCTTAATCTTGGAAAATATTGGGAAGGTATTTAGGGAGACCTTTGAAGCAGTAATATTTATCTTGCTTTTTCACAATTAGTTTTTCTTCCCTTCTTAATCAAATTTGTTGCTATGCTTTCCATGTTGCCTTTAACTCAAAATCATTGGCTGCTCTTTCCACGTTGCACTGCCTGTTTCAGGTAGTGTATTTAATCTTTTGGAAACTATCTGTTTTTTTATTTTTTATCAAGATAGGAGAAATAAATATATTTTCAAACAATGTTAAAAATTAACAAAAATTATTGCAGGAATTTAAGCACATTCTTTGGGTGCTTTTTTAGACAAAGATATTCATTTGGGCAATATAGCATTCTAAGTATGCCTTTTGCCATTTTTGCAAGAAACTTAAAATTTTAGTCCAGCTGCAAAGGCTATTAAAATCATCACATCCTCAGTGACTCAGCTCATACAGAGTTGACAGAATTAAGACTACCAAGAATTTCATATTTATGGCACATTCTCAAGTGGTTCTAGCATCCCTACACAACTTCTCTGCCAGAAGCAAAATAGACATTTCCTGCATCATCTACTCTGTGCTAGGGTGAACTACAGGTACTAGCCTTGCTGAGTGGTGACCTACTATTCCTTTTTGCGGCTCTCCGTAACATCTCTTCTTGATTTTAAGCATCTTGAAAGCAATTTGAACCAGCTCAGGCAAGCAGGAAAGAAGAGAAGGTAGAGGCAAGCAATCTAGTATTGTAGGGATTAAAAAGATTTAAAGACTAAAACTAGTAGGGTAAGAGCAATGACTCTGTTCCAGAAGGGGCTGGAACTGGTTGGAAAAGACAGTGGTAAGACATGCATTACATTCCTTCAAGTGCCACTCCAGACAAATGGTGACAGCTTACATTGGGAACATTTTGACTCCTGATCATTGACCAGGACTCCAAAGTGCTACACAGGCCAAAGAGACAATCTATGACCCCAGAACTTTATAATTTAGGTACCAGGCGATGAAATAACTTCTGCAGAGAAAGTGGCAGAGAATGAGAAAGCAGCTGGCCCATATGGCCTGACTGTCAGGCTGGGGATACCACACTGACTGATTGGCAGTATTTTGTTGAAGAGAAGATTTCAAGCGGATTGCATAGCTTTTACATGTTCCTGACTAGTACAGAGGAGAGCACACAGTAAGGTGACTTACTGGCTGCCTAAGGTGGTGGAGGCTGGTGTAAACATTTTCTTCCTAGAAGGGAGATAGGGATGGTTGGAGGCAAGCAGGAAATGGACATAAAGAGGAATGGGGAAACATGCAGGGAGGGTGGAGTTACTCCAGTCCTCCAAATTGCAAAAGGGGACATAAAGCTGCAAAACCTGCTGAGCATACTACGTCAAATGAAAAAATATATTTTACTTGTTTGTTTCTAAAAATGTAATTAATTGAAAGAAATTGTCTCTGAACTCATGAGGATGTAGGTTCAGAATGATGTTTGGCTTTGTATTTCTTCATTAAGACATGACAATCCCCTTGTGTTGCTTTTAACTCCTGTGTTATGAACAAGTGCTAACTCCTGTGTTATTAGCGGTGCTAAACACTCCAGTAGCTTTTTCAATTGTATGAATATATCTCCTAATACATTGCTCATTAAGAAAGGGATCACTTCCTGAACCTTTATGTGATTCAAATTAATCTATTTTTCCTCGGTGCTTTCCCTGAAACATTAATGTCCTTGGAAAACTTCTGGCTATTCTACAATCATGCATCCTTAAAGACTGTTCTTTCATTCAACATGCTTATGCAGAACAGTGGAAGTGAAGGTCAGTCTTCTTTTCTTTATCATTGCTGAAATTAGCCTGTCTTCACTTTTGTTTTGGAATCACCTAATACCACAAAACTTAAATACCAAGTTACTTAGAGACGAAAAAACTGACTAGTATACATTTTAGAAGTTGGACAGGTACTGCTGTAGTTTGATTCTCTTAAATACCACTTTCAGATACTTTTCATAACAATCGAGATAATTTCAGGATGAAAGAAGATATTTTATAAACACAATACAGAAAAACACTGAAACATTTCTCTTCAAGTTGATTTTTTTCTACATCCTGCAGTTTAAAGATATTTATTTTTCTCCAAGTTATTGAAAATTCTTTTTGAACATTTTATCAGGGTGAGTGGATTTTTCATCTAGAGGGTAAAGAAAATGGGGACAGACTTTCAAGGTTTGAAAGCCATTAACTGACATTTGTTTCACATAGCCCAAGCTGGTTTTCTGCTTTCTGTATGTGGAGATGGCATTGCATGATAACACTGCAGAAACTAAAACAATGTGATCTTCTATTGGCTGGAAATGATTAAATTATGCATTAATAGGAAAATAAAAATCATAAAAATAGCAATTGAAAAATTATCTGGTCAAAACTGTATTTCCTAATACTAAAAATGTACCATAGTAAAGAAGAAAAAAATGGACAATTAATTTAATATATTTGCCAGTTCTCAAGTATGTGGTGTTATAGCTTGATTAAAAATAAGACACTTAGCTTCATGCAGACATTTTTCTATGGGAAAAGAAAATTAACTTCTCGTGAACCTGAATCTATTTAAATGTGACAAAAGGCCAGCTATGGTCTTCTTATGAGTAAAACTATGCCTCAAGAAATTCAGTATATTTTTAAAGGAAATAGGACCCTTAGAAAATTACATAAGGTTATATCTGAAAACCTCAGTTCTTGAAGTTTCTTAAAAACTGAATAATTTGATTACGCCCATTTCTACCTCAAGTGCAAGAGACAGAATAAAAAAAATTTCCTTATGGAGAGAAAACTGGGGTATTACAGAAATCAGTCAAACAATGATTCTAAATATCACATTAAGCTAAATTCCACAAGTTACTCTATTGCAAAGAAATGTATGAATTATTATGTTATGAATTATTTTGTGAATTATTACAAAATATCAACATTGAAGTATACTAAACCCAAAGGAAAATAATAATTTAAACACAGATTTTTGATTTATATACAGTTCAGTCATATGATTTTGTGTAAGTAGATACATCAGCATGACAGAAAAATACATGATAGGCTTTTGAGCTTCCCTTAAAACATCTTCAAAATAATCCTTACTTTTTCTAAGGTTTCCACCTTAGAACTGTAGTCCCTCTAAAATAATGTCTAAAATAACATCAAAATAATAATTGCTGTTTAATTCTTTAACATTATCAGTAATTTTATTTCTGACAACACAATTTTAGTATATCCAAACTTGTGATTGTTTTATGTACCTTTTTCTTTCTATAATTTTCATTGCCCCGTGGTCAGAGTTTTCTAGTTGCTTTCACGTCCAGGTAAACACCAGGAGCAGAGTGTCCAAAATCAGGAGCAGGTCCTTGGCTACTGCTGTTAGTGGTCATCACTTCTTTTGTACTTTCTAACTGATGTACATGAAGTAGGGAAATAGGCAGGAACACAGTGAACTCCCACCACCCAGCACAAATCCAGGGAATTGGGAGGAGGTGAGCAGAAGCACTTCTTGGCTGTTGCCCCACTTTTGCTTTTGCAATGTTACTTCCATCTTACTTCACCTTAATGGCCCCATAATGAAAGATTACTTCACAAAGTGTTTCAGTTTAATTCCCTACCAAATTGTTTCAGAAGGAAAACAGATGTCAGAGCTTTGGTGAGATTAAACTTTCTTCAATGATCTTGACATTGAAAAGCTCAATGACATTGAGAGCTTCTCAGGATTTTAGATAAATATCACTAAGTTTAACAAGCACATTTTACTGTTTTCTAAAAGCAATATAAGATTACGGGATGAATAGAAGGTCATGAGACTGAGTGACAGCAGCACTGAGGGAGGAGAATGGGTTTGAGTCAACCTGCTACAGACTTCAGACAGTAAACCAACTCAAGTCTAAAACATATTTCCCTTCTATCACGACGCATTATGGCTATATGATAATGAAGAAGGATTATTGTATCATAATCATATGACGTTCCAGAAATTTGACAGCTACTATGAAAGAAAGGTCCTTGGATTGCACTCAGCCTCCATAACAAATCCAAAAAACCTAATATGTATGCTGCCTTTATACAGATATCTACATGACAGAATACTTTCAAAGAGATAATATGAAGATTTAAAATACATTTAATACATGCTATCTACCTTGATTTCTCTGAAACTATACTTTACTCAAAGAAAGGTGATGAAAGTTTAAACCTAAATAATTTTAAGAATTTTTTATATGTAATTTTATATTATACTATGCACCAAAAGAAAATCCAGGAGCCCATCTATCACGTTTCAACTCACAATGTATTGTCTGCATAGCAATTTTTTGGTAACTAATACATACAATGTATGATAAATCTGACCTAAATCTATAAAAACTCTGAGAATAGATTGATGCTTTTCTATTCAACACTACACTGGCTGGCTAATGAAAAAAAGAATGCAAATCAAACACTGTCTCCATGGTAATATATGGGTCAATTGTAAGGAATATGAAGCTAATTGCTGTATTTTCATGGATTATAATAAAAATAATGGCCTGCAAGTCAGGATTTCCCTTGTTGTTAATAATAATCTGAGTTAAAGAGCTTCTGGCTGACAATGAACTGCTAGACACATTTGCCTAGTGAATAAGTTCTGCTTAATTAAACTTCATTGAGTGAGCTGCTAGATATTTTACCAGCTAAAACCAAAACCAAAGCCACAAAAGAAAAGAAAAGCCTACTTACAAAGTGGGGATATATCTGTGTTGGCATTGCCTCCTTTAAGATTCATCTTCTGAGCTTGACTTGCAGGAACAGGCTTGTAAGATTGACCTGTGGCTCTGTACATAGCTTGAACCCAGAGTATTCTATCCTGCTCATCGTCACTGGCAAATATCACAGTATCGCCTTCTTTAACAGCGTTGAAAAACATTCGTCCACCCTGAAGACCTGAAGCAGTAAATAAGAAGGTAATCTTGATAAATACAAGTTACTTCTAAATCACCCTCAATATTTATTACATTGTTGGTTTTACTCAGAGTATGTTTGTGTGTGGAGGGGTGTGCTAAAATATCTTATAGGTATTTATGACCTAGAAATAAGATAAATCTAGAGCTCTAAGGATCAAATGGTAATACATAGAGGTAACATAAGCAGAATAAATACAGAAATCACAGGATAAATATTTACATGACTTCACCTTAAATTCAGCTCCAACTTACTTCTTATTCATCTTCTCTCTGCCATATGTTATTTTGCATATTTTAACATATTCTTCTTCCTGGTATGATTTTATTAGCTGGAAATTCCTGTCAACTTTATCTCTTACTGAACAGAGACAGCTCCATATCTTTTATTAGTGCTGCTCTTCCTTAGTCCTTTTCTCATTCACTCAGTATTTTTTTTCTGAGAACACGTAATGAGAACAGGACACAACAGTCAACATGGCTGTACTAGAGACATCTTTATGACAGAATTGTTTCGATTTTCCAAACGCCTTCTGAGCATTGTTTGCCTTCTCAATTATTCTAAACATTGACACAGCATTTTTAAAATATCAATCTTTAATGTTTCAGAAGTCTCCTAATTTCATAACCCTCCACTCATAGGTAGAATTGTTTTTCTTTGCATGTGATTTCCCTCTTCCATTTTAATATTAACTTGTGGAGATTTTTCTTACATCTCCAAATTTATTTTGAGTACTATGAGTAGCTCGTCTTTCACAGGCATTATCATAATTTGTCTTATTTTCTAAATAGTTTATGAATATACTTCACAGTATATTGTCACATACCACCAGCATCAAAAAGAGAAAAGGGGAAAACTGACTAGAATTCACAACTTTTTCCTTGTATTATATGTGTATTATATGTTTCAGGAAACTTTAGTGTAAAGTTTATTCTTCATTAGTCTTACAAGCTTCTTTCTAAAAGCATGATTTTTCACACCAGAATATCCTAGTAGAATAATTGCCAAAGAATCTTGGGATTTTTTGCTGTCAAAGAACCTTGAGAATTTTTGCTGCTAGATCAAAACAAGCAAATTGAAATAGCTACTTTACACAAACATATTGTGCTTCACCATCCCACTTCAAAATCATGAAAAGTACCTGTGTGAGGAGCTGTGTAATCCACAGTGTATCCTTCCAGTTGCATCAGTTCCTGAGGCTCAGACTTCTTTTCTCTGTAACTGCACATTGCAAATGTGTATTGGCTAACCTGAATAAGAAAAGAGTTCTTAATTATTGAATCGCATTCCAGAACTGTATAACCAATGTACCATGGTTTAAATTAGCTTTCATTTGCACTGAATAAATAAATCCCCTTTTTCCCCCCTCCTTTTCCAGAAGTATTTACAGTGTAAAATTTCTCCTTCTTTACCTTTCTGCCAAAATGAAGGAACAGAAAACTCCAAACAAAATAACCCATAAATACTCTTCTCTGCAATTTCCTGACATACATTTTGGGTTGGTGCTTTACGAAGAAGTAGAGGGAAGACATTTAGATTCTGGTAGGGAAAACACTTAGTATTGTTGTACTGACCAAATTGCTCAGTATACTGTACGAGGAAAAAAAAAACCTATATTCCAAGAAACTGAGAAAACAATAACTTTTATGTATAAAAGAAAGAGCTTGCAGAAGGAATGGCACAATTATCATGAAAGTGGAAAAAATGAACATATAATCTGGCCAATTCTAGCTAATGATGGCAAGCATCAGAACCTTCGGTTTGATTTTATAGTCTAACTTCTGTACCTTTTGCATCTGTGTTCTCACCCACCCCTGTACTGCTTGGGTCACCTGATAATGTACCGTGTAGGCCAAGCTGCTTGCAGCTGGCATGGACAACATTAGTTACTTGTCATCAAGTACAATTATCAAAAAACTTATAAAGCAGTAAGAAAAGAATGTGTCTCTAGGTGTATTTTGACTCTGTAGACAGAATAGAAAACTAAAAGAATAGGAGAGGAAAAGCTGACTGAAAAGATAAAGAATGATATAGAAAGAAATGTAGTATCTGGGAGGAGAAAAGCAATCACTGAAACAAAACTGAGGTGATCCCAGCTTTATATGAAGAGCTGGGAGGATTACAGAAGATGACCAGAAGAAAGAGCACGTGAATCTTTGAACACTTGAAACTAAAGGGAACTGAATGCATATGCACCTCTGAAACTCTCATCTCCAAGGACTGTAGGATATGTGGCCAACAGACTTGTGTTAAACTATCTGTAAAATTATGCTAGGATGTACAGGTAGGTAAGGAGCTCATCTGATATATAATGGGTCATTTTTATTTTAACTGCTGACTGCTCAGCTACCTTATCTAAATTTATTGTTTTAGCTACAACTCCAGGAATGACACTTTTTGAATTAAAATTTGGACAGCTGATTTCAGCTTCATTCATATATTTGCTGGTGCTGTACCTTACTCTTTGCAAAAGATTGATTTGTTTTGAAAATAAGGATGGAATGTGATATTATTATCTGGGTAATGCTCTAAAAATATTTCATTATTTTATGTATTGGGCCTTTTTTGAAACAGGACTATGCTATCTATGTGTAAGCAGTGCATGGTGACTGAACATCCCCTGGCACAGCCTGTACAAGCAAATGGAACAGGTGTAACACTTCTTTTTGTAAAATGCCCATTGGGCCTCAAATGCCAAACTGATGTCTCCAGAACCACAGCACGAATCTACAGGGGAGAGAAACTAAACACAGCTCTTCTAGTTACAGTTTTTTTGTTAGTTAAGCAAAAAGACTTTTACAGGAGATAAGAATTTGAGAGACACTGTCAAGCAACTGAAACTGTGTCAGCTTTCCACATCAGATTTGGTACATTCACTTAAATGGGCACACCAAGACCACATTAAATATACATAAACACAAAAAACCAATCTAGTCTACCCCAAAATTCAGATTTTCAGACCAGAAAGGGACTACTACAGGCAGCCAGACCATCCTCCAGCATGACAAGCATAGCAGAATTTCACCTCACCATTTGTGCACTGAGCCCACAGTTTTGCTTTCATTCATAGTATATGTTAGGAAATTACTGTATTTTGGTTTAAATATTTTAAGGTATCCCTGGGCTGACAGGGCAGGGCCTTGCAGACAGGGTCCAGCTGGGAGGAGCCCCAGCCCCATCCTGGGCACAGGCCAAGGATGGACTGAGATGTGGGGAACTGGAGACTACCCTGCTGTGGCATTTCTGGGGCTGGGGACAATAGTCCCTGGAGGCTGAAATGGGAGTCAGGGCTGTGGGCAGAGACAGCCAGGGCTGCTGGTCTCCCTTGGGAGGGGACCCTGCTCTAGGCCTGGCAGCAGCATCACCTCTGTCATTGCTTGGTATTTCCCTGCTTATTGTCCCACAGCCATATTTGCCCTCATGGACAAGCATAGAGGGAGCTGTTGGCTAGTCACACAACTCTAAATCCTTTGCAATTAGCATTATATTTAATGAGAGTTTCCTTCTTTTCTTTTCTTTAAACTGACTCTACAATTTTAATTTTTGATACTTGGCACTGTAGTAAATAATTTTTGAATTTATTCCATTTGGTTGAATGAAATAAGCTGGCAAGGAGCCACATTAATCTCTCAATTTTCATGTTAACAATTCCACATAACCACACTGTATAGGCAATCTGAGTCATCAAAAGGGAAGCCATCAAACACTAATCATGCAAATGCGTAAGATGCCCATATTTTTCAGATTTCTTCAGCCACTGAATGTTTTTGAAGATAAACTTGTGTAGTATCTGGACTATCCATCTTTATTCATTTTTAACCTTACCACTATAACAAGACAGACATTATGATGCTGCTGATCTTATTTTATTGAACATATTGCAAATGTGCTCTCTTATTTTAAAGGAACAATCAGTCATGATCGGTGACTTCATCTTTTTGTTGAAAACGAGACATTTTGAACTTTCTTCACCAAAGAAACAGATAGAAAAATTCTGGAAAATTCTGTTGGGGAAAAAAGTCCCAACAAAATAAAGAAATAAGAATTTGCCTCCTTTGTTTACACTTGAAGTCACTTAAACCCTTTTCCTTATGCTCATCAGTGGCTTCTCTCACTTACTGCAAAGAGAATCGGCAGCACAGACTGAAATAACACTTCTTAATATAGATCCTTGACTGAGTTTAAGTGTATTATTAGTAGTAAATGGAGCTGTAATCAGCTTTACCTAAGAATTCAGCAAATTAGCATAAATAATGTGTAGAACAATGAGTACTCAAAAGTCAGGACTATGTACAGCACATTCTCAGACAAAACGGAGTAAGTTTGTCCTCTTGAGTGGTAATCTTGACAGAATAAAAGGCAATATTCTTCCTACAACTGCATTTACTTGAATTTTGTTATTGTCCAAACACCCGACTACCTGCTGTTCTACCTGTTTTGTAACAAGGGAGAAAACCAACACCCTATGCATTTATGACAGACAGATAGGTACAGAAATGTGATTGTGACTTATGAGGAATGTCACTAAGGGATGTCCCCACGGGTCACAAAGACTCTGTTTAATGTGCTGGGAGGAAGTGTTACCGCACATCTGGCTGATTCTGTGGTGTCTGTTACAGGCCGTCACTGGGCAGCCCACTCCAGGAGCTCAGCAGCAAGAATTAGCCCGCGGGGCTTATGTGTTTAGAAAAAAATTATCCATGAAACAAATTACTGACTTTTTAAACATTTGACCAGGTGAAATTAAAACAGCAGAAGTGGATCTGCATTCCAATTACTGGAGGAAGAGATGAGACAGTAAATTAAGTAAAACACATCAAGTCCAGCTTAGGCTTTTTACTAACCGTGTTACATCCCTGTCTTTTTCTCTTTTTAAATTAATAATCTTTTAGAGAAGTGACTGGATACTAAAAGATAAATATCAAATAAAATGAAGAGATTTAAATTTCCAGATACTGTAACCTTTTTATAACATTGATCTGTTCTTTCAGAAACCACTAACAACTTGTAATAGGTGCAGCAATAATGAAGGTGAACATTACTCACATCACACTCTGAAAAAATCAACATTATTCCTCTAATGTCACAACTGAGTTACATTTTCAAAGTGTGTGAGTAAATCATACTGGTAGGCTCTTTCCTAGCACTGAATTTCATGTCCTTGGTATTTTCCTACTGTAAGCTAAAAGTTAATCTATAGAGGAAGACTTGTCACTATGTCAATAATATATCAATACAACAGACCGGCTCATTACTGAATGTTTATTTCACATGTATTGACTTCAGCTTATTGCCAGTGAACGTATCACTGCAGGACTATAAATGAGCCAGAGCTGTCTGGACAGTAAATATTGATTTAACACTGTATTTTTTTATATAGCTTTATTGAATTGATAGCTGTTTTAAAATGAAATAGATGACTAAATCCCATCACAGTAGGAAAATTCCGGTAATATTCTCCTCCAGTATTTCAATTTCAGCATAGAGAGTAGAAAATAGTTAAAATTAACTTGACTGGAATAAACCGGTCTTCCAGATGATGGTTCTATATTGCATGCACATAAAGACTATGTGTCCCCTAGATGTACAATTTAAAAATCAGATGACACCTGTGGCTTAGTGGAAAAGTACAAGTTCATTCTTACTGTAAAAGGAGTGGTAAGTAGGATGAGTGTTAAAGAAAAGAATGAAGGACAAGGGAGCATGTAGGCTTACTGAAATTATTTTCTGTTCACAGTTATGCCTTGATAGCTATCCTATATAGAGATCTTCACAAGAAATATTAATAGACACAAAATGTCCTCATCTCTTCACAAAGGACCTTCGTAAAATCAGAACCCAAATGACTTCTATAGCCTTTACAATCCTTCAAATACTCTTGGCTTTTACCACTAATAAAGAACTTGTCCAGTAATTTTTTTTTTACAACCATATGATTTTAATCACGTAAGAGTAGGAGGAGACCAGGTAAGTGTGACCGACAGAATGATAAAGAAATCAGGCTTTCTGTAAAGTAGTTTTAGAATATTTTGTCCTTAAAAAAGCCTCATTAACTGGCTTCAACCTTTGTATGATACTTATGTAAACTCAGACTTTAAGAGTTTTCTGTCAATAAAAAAAGCAGACAGAAAAACATTCTCTGAACTTACTGCGAAGACCATCGACTATAGTCTGAAAACAAACACCAGTGGAAAACAATGACTTTTTTACAAAGACTCCCTAAAATCATTAATTTCTCTGTTTTGACCACTCAAAATCTACTGTTCTATTTATCTCAAGTCAACATTACCATTCATTAGCATGTGAAAATACTAACAGTACCGGGTTTAGACAAAAAGTTATAAATTATGAGCCTAGCAAATTTTTGTGGCCAAGAACAACTACTGCACCATATTTTCTGTAACAATTATATAATTTTACCCAATTTAATGTTGCAAGGAAGAAAAAAATAGCATTATTTTAAAAAATCAGAAAAAGTTCTTAATATAAGTATTATTGCTTTAATTTCAAAGGCAGGAAATATTCATTGAGATAGAATAAATTAAACAGTAAGTACAATTCATTTTGTGAAATATTACTTTATTTTAAATTGAGTGTTGATAAAAAGCTATCATCAGGTCACAAGTTCACAAAAATTTCATCCAGAAATTTCTAGGTTTCAGTTGAAACATTGCTCAATGTAGGGCTCCATTTATATATATATATATATATATATATATCTGTAAAACTTAGTAACATTTCTGTTTACTAGGTATATAAATTAAAAAAAAATAAGCTGTATGTCTCTGTGTTGCAAGAAGCTTGGAGTAGTACTGCATGTGTTGCCTGAAGATACTGCTTTACAAACTACTCCAGAAATCATATATAATTTATAGTCCAATAATAAATTATTTTATTGGAATTTCATGGCTCACTACTAACCTGAACAAGGACAAAGTAGCGTTTTTTCCACCGCTTCCAAACCTTCTGTCCTAGAGCATACAAGTACCTGCAAAGGAAATAATAAAGGGAGTGGTTTTCCATTAATAAGAAGCATGACATTAGGAGGACCAAACACAAATCTGTGTATTAATTTACTCTGTATACTGAGCTGCTTCTTCAGTGTTGTCATACTGAAAAAGTGATTTTTCTTCTATTTACTCATATCATAAAAATGCAGAGACATTTCTTTTCACTCAAAACAAGACAAAAATCAGAAAAAAATGATCTCATGTTTGTGAAGATAAATCTGCTTATCACTTATTATTTCACCAATTTTATCTGAAAAATAGAAAAAAGTAGCTTAAAGTAGGACACTTTTGACTACACAGAAATACTAAATGTTAGAAAAGTTGGCATTCGCAACAGATTTTATTCCATTTGGTTTCCACAGATTTGATAGTGTTTATTTAGTCTGTGAGAAGTCAGTCCCAGAGATAGTGTGATAAAATGCTCACATAACACAATGTCAGCAGACACATAAGACTAAATGTTTTTTCAGAGTAAAGTAGAATCTAATTTCCCAAACAGAAGCACTTCACTATAAAGACTCTTAGATTACAAAAACTCCTTGTCACTTTAGCAATTTCCAGGTTTTGAATCAGAGGAAATAATCAGAAGAATCAACCAGTGAGATGAGAAAACCACAGATGCTGATATGGTTTGGCGGTAGAGAGAGCACACTCATTACCCAAGAATTTGCAGTGAATTTTCTGACATTATAGTGACATTTTTTTGGTGTCACTCTGGTCATGTTGCACTGTTGTTAACAAAGACAGCAAAAAGAAAAGGATGAGTTGTGAGATTGTGAGCAAGACCCCGTGAGTGGGAATGATCTGCTGCTTAAAACCTGACAGGAGAGGAAACTATTATGTATGAGATGCCCCTTCTGTCTGGCCAGCTTCTGTCAAGGACATCTGGTACATCTAGGCTGGTCAAAGGCAGAACAATGGTTGTTCAGACCAATGAATGTTGGCTTCACAGGGCACCCTCCAGAGGATGCTGGTACATACATTATGAAGTAGCTATGATAACCAGGATGGGAGATGGTTGGTCAGACGCCTGACAGATGAACATAGGCCTCTCTGGCAAGAGAGTATGGTCTGTTGCCCTCTACTCACTTCTGTGGCTTTGCTGCCCAGTAGTTTGAACCTTAGTCAAAAAAGAGAGCAATGAACCAACATCTTCTGTGAAATGAGTAAGCAAGATAAAGGCAAAGCCTTTTCTATATCTGTCCTGGGTGAACCCTCAAGAACGTTTTCTCCCACATTAGGCATCACAAAGGACGAATTTATGTCTAAAATAAATGTTCAGTGTGCTGCTTATTTATTGTTGTTTGTCAGATTGTGTAGTGGCTCCCTTATTATTATGGCACCAGGGTTTGTCCTTCTTCAACTTCTGCACCTGTTTTGAAGTAACCTTACTTGGTTACTTTGCTTTTTATTCATATGAGAGGGAAAAAATTAGCTTTGTGTACAAATTACCACTTGATGTGGCCTTCTTTGAATAGTCTAGATCTTGCCACAGTCTTTTTAATTTCTTAATTCTGTGACTATTATGAATTAAATGAAAAGAAAGGAGTAAGGGTTATATCAGAAAGGGTTCAAAAGAAAGGACCTACTAGGGTAGGTAATTTTATATTATTTTACAACTAAAGAAGCATTTACCTCACAGACTTATGGTCACACATTCTCCCACAAAATACAAACTGCTTTCCTTTTCATACATGTTTCAGAGCATTTGCTTTCCCCAAAGCACGCAACATTGCTATTGCCATGCTAATCTCTTTACTATTGTCAGAGGGTGGAGGGAAAATAAATTATGAATTTCACATAGCCTTAATGACCTCAGGGAGAAATGTAAAAAAGTCCACAGGTGGCGTTTGGTCTCTCTCAGTCCAAGACTGCCATGTTCCTCATGGTGATTCTGCCACTGCATCCCACTTGCATCGCCTGGAGTATCATAAAAGTTTTTTTTGATATATGTCATTAGGCAACTGCCCCATTTTGAAACTGTATTTCAAAAACACAGTTGAAAATACACAGTCCTCCAGAGCTACAGTACAACGCTATCCTGACCATGTTCCCACCCTCTTGACACGTCTTAAATGACTGTAAAAAAGCCATAGATTAACAAAGGCTTCTTGCCTCTTGCACATCAGAAAATGAGTAACCCAACCTTAGAAACTCTATGTTAATTCTTTCTCATTATTAACTGATCCTGTTGCAGAAATGTTCTTTTAAAATAAGAGGTGTTAAAAGAACATTCCATATCAGAGAAAAGGTGTTGCTTTTATATTACTTGGCTGTCTTTTAAATTACTCTTCATGTAAGATATACCACCTATAGTTTTGCAGTACAGGCACAAATAGTATAAGATACAGTAAATTCAAAAGTATAAAATAATAAAGCACACAAAAAGAAATTAAATGGCAATGTGTGAAGTTTCAGCCATTCACAAGGGGTATATCCTGTGCTCATCTTAAGTGTGTCTGCTCCTGAAAAAGAGATTAATTCTTACTCAAGAGTCAAATATTTTTAGGTGGAAGGACCCACCTAGGCTTCTAGAGTCTTCTTTGAACCTCTCTTCCTCATAATTTTCTATTTGGAGAAAAAAAAAAGAAAAAAAAAGGGATGCAAAGGACCTAAGGATCTTCAAGAATCTTCCCATATTTAGACAGTAACATCTAGGATCTGTAGAAACTGCAGTTGATGTCTAGAACAGAAAAAATCTACAATAGCCAGTTTCCACAGTTAAATGACATTTGGGTTTCACAAATGGAGCAGAAAATTAATAGGTTAATAGATTCAGAAGTGAGCTAAGTCTTAGAGGTAAGCTGAAGAATGTTTTATTTTTAAGATGGAAAATTGCGTAACTTTTCATAAGTCTTAGGTAAATGCCAGTACTGCAAACCAGGACAGAATCTGGCAGTCACAACTCACAGATCTCCAGCCTGCTGTTTCTCTACCCATAAGTGTATCTGTATTCACCCAGAAGCTGCAGTCACTCTCTCCATCCAAAATAATGTACACAAAATGCACAGCATCGGTTGCTCAGATTATTTTAAACATCCTCAGCAGCAACAAAAACACAGAAAAGCCATTCATTCTAACACTGTACCTTTAGGCAAAAGATTTTGTGCAATACAAATGAGAAACTTATATTCAGAAGTGTCAGTTCCATATATCTAAACACTAACCACACCATTTGCTTCAATTTTTTCTTGCTCTAATTTGGGTTCCAAAGTTGGTATAATCTGAAATAATTCTTGAATGATTAAAGCTCAGCTATATACAGGGAAGGAAGGCACGTAAATAGTTCCCCTGTATCTGAACACTATAACAGTAACTGCTCAGATTTGTTTTGACTTCTCTTTAAGATCATGTTTTGAGAATGTTTAATAAATATTCTGACAAGGAGAAAAGATTGGTGTTTTCATGTACATTGAAACACATATAGATGACAGACTTCTATTCTGTAAAAACATATAATAAATGAGATTATCTACACATAACATCTATGTCTGTACATATGCACATTAGAAAGTATATTTATAGTTAGTATGCATGTGTGGTTGCCTTCTTCAGTTTTCTTATATTACTCACATAATTTCCAGTAACTTATGACTAATACACCTGCTTTTATTAATCCCACAGAAAATAGGATCTTGATCACATATGTTGAGTTTTTAAGTGTCACCTCAATGTGAAGATTTTCTAACATGCTTTGTAGCAACATGAAAAGGAAAAAAATGTACAAACTATGTAATTACTATTCTGAGACTTTTTCTTTTAAAAGCAGTTCTACATTCTTCTTCAATATTATTTAATACTGCTTTCTTTCACTTCACTCAGTCCCAAATGACAAAATAAAAATTGGATTTGTAGGAAGTCGCAGAATTACATGATTATACCTCACAATGTTTACAATATGGTACAAAAACCTCCTATTTAATATTTAAAGTTAGCTTTCCTGGAAAACAAATAAAATTACAAGAAATTACATTTCCACTACAAAACACAGAAACATCCAGATAAAAATGTTTTATATATAATCTCATCTCAGTCAGTATAATTTTCTTCTTCAGAAATACTACAAATAAAATGAACAAACATTTTCTTTAAAAAGTCTGGGCATAATCATGCTTTAATTAAATAAAGTTTCAATATCTCTCAAAGTACATTTCCTTGTGCTACCAAAATGCAAAACCATATTGCTAAATATTATAGTTCAGTTTCAGTTGTGTGATGACATACACAGGAAGGAAGATGGCAGCTTATTTGCTCTAAGTCCTCACCTCACTGCGAGAGTGCGGGGTTCCACCTTTTGATGAAAAAAATCAGCACTAATGAATAGCTGAAAAAGCATAATTGTGTATGGAATATTGGAGCTATTCACTGAGGGAGAAATGAGAACGGACTCACTTCTTCTACACAGATAATTTTTAGACCAGCCTTTTTATTCTAAGGAATGAAGCAATCTATCTACATCTTGAATGATAAATTCTCTACTTGTAAAAGGCTTCATTTATCACAAACAATGAAAAAAATATAGAAAGAAAAATCAATATGTGTAGCAGTTTAGTCCAGCAAAGGCCTTTCTTAAAGAGAAACCTCAGTCAAGGTTGAAAGAGCAATTAATGCAGTCTCAAAAATCTGGGCCACTCTGATAGAGTTCGGTTAACATGTGGCAGAAGTAATCATCCACTTGTGAAAATGATTTTCAGTTCATTCTCAAACACCTTTCAGACACTCATGATCCCATTTAACTGACAACAATACAGGCTATCCGTGGGCATCATTGCATTCGCTGAGAGAGCCAATGGGGACCAAATGCCCACAGGCACTTTCAGTCATCCCGTGCCTTGCATAAAAGGAATCTTCCTTGCACTGCATTCATCCTTTTATTTAACCCTGCAAGATTAAGAAATTTTTTTCTTTGTTTTCAGTTGAGGACGAGGAGAAAACTGATTCAAGACAACAATATGACCTGGGTCATAAGAAACCTAGC